ACTAAAAATTCCTCGATGCCAATTCAAAATCAAATTAGTCGCATTTCATTTTGCTTTTTTTCCTTTGCAGAGATTTTCATCACAATAGTTCTTGTAAAAATTAAAGAGAAACTTGTAAAAGTAAATTTTTAAATCAAACAAATTTGAACTGCAACTTGAAAAATTTTAATTTTATAATGTGTTTTATATAGCCAAAAATTATCCAACAATGCTATATTTAAAATACAAAAGTGGGGGAAATATTCTTGTGATTCTGCAATTTATGGAGAAGGAAATTTTAATTTCAAATGTTTGAATTTTATCTCATATATAGTATTCACACTCAATTTAAATGGAGATGATAGTGATAATAAAATGCAAATTTAAGTAAAGTCTTAATTAATTATAATCTGTATTATGGTTATTTCTCATATCCCTATATATAAAAATAAAAAAGATTTGTTGCATAATAAATTATTTAAATCAGCCCCTAAATATTAATTCAGAAAAGTTTGGTTTAATCGGGTTTAATATGATTCAGTTTGTGATACCCAATACAAAACTCACGTCAAGTCGTTTGAATGGTTTTAAAAGATCATCCTCTCCAAAAACGTTAAGCGTTTTTTTAGCAGATGCGGTTTCCGGCTCTTTGGCTGATCTTTGGCGCGAAATAATGTTTGCGTATTGCGCCCTGCGCTGCAAAATGACGATCTAGCCATGAGTTTTATTTATAATCATCTCTCATAAGTGGGACGTCGGGCAGGCAAAAATATTTTGGCCTTCACACTGGGCGACACAATAAGTACTCACTTATCCTTATGCATTATTTACTTTTAACTCGCCAGCCGTGATGCGCGGAGAGTGAGCCGTGCTGGCCGCGCGGTGTGTGTATTTTATACGGTTTGAGAATTATAAAAAAATTTATTTATGATACAATAAGAATAATAAAAGGTGTCTGGCACCTCTTTAAAATGTTCGAGTGCGGATGAACACCTTTCAAAAGTTTGTGCAAGTCACTTCGCCACGGCCGCGTGTGTGGAGAGCCAAGAGTGCGTATGAAATCATTAGAATATCTGTGAAAGACCTCCTTAAATAAACTGTTGTCTGCATGACTGGATGAATTAAATTTATAACACACACACACTCTGCAGCAATCACGTAGATTTTTGTATTCAGCGTTTATTTTGTTGTTCCTGCTGCCGCGGCGTGGCTCATCTTTTCTTTTTCCTTTCCTTTTTTGCCTCTTTCAGTTGCTGCATGGTGCGTGTCTACTTAGACAAATGGGTGTACACCCTTTGATTTCTTGCAGAAGCCACTTGAGTTGGGAAATTAAAAATCAGTATTTTCACAGGTGGCCTTGGAAGATCTCTTTTATTATTGCGATTGCAAGAAATGAATTTCGCTAAGGCCATGCTGGTGTTTCAATAAAATCAATTCAACAAATATAATAAAACAATATTTTGCAAGAACTAAATAAATTATTTTTAATTGAACCTTTTTAATAGAATTTTTTCATTTATTTGATGAATTGGCTTAAGAAGGTATAATGGTATAATGTATAATAAACAAATTAATTTCAAATTCCCAAATTTAGATTTTTTATTGACCAAGAAGATAATAAATAATACTAATGCATGAAATCTAAAAATTTATTTTGTATTTTTGTAAATTCTTTTTCCGATCCTCACATTTTTTACATTTCCATCAAGAATATTAATCAATTTATGCATTAAAAATAAATATAATACAAATGGTCTTCCATCAGTTCTATGTTGGTTGAGCATTTAAATTTATTTTCTTTTTAATTAAATTAAACGACATGCTTTATAAAACAATTTCAATCATTCCTGCATTTTTATAATGTTTTCTTTCCACTTCATTAATCCTTTAGGATGATTCGACAAATGTGTATCATTTTCTACTTAAGCGTAATTGCAATGCAACAAAGTGATCCTGAATAACGTAATGAGTGGTTTCGTGCGCCGGACAATAAAGTGATATCCAGCAAACGGAGCTCGGATGGGTTTCGAGGAAAATGACAGTGTTTGTGGCCGGTGCTTTTTACCTCTCACCATCTCTGGCAGGCGAATTTATTTATTCCCCTCACACATATCCACAGCCGTAATAACGTCGCGCGCGGCGTATCATTGTAAGGCGGGTTCACAAACGCAGCCAGCAGAAAATGTGTATCTCTGTCGGCGCAATTATGGCGGGCGGTTCGGTCGAGGAAGGATGGTCATTTTATTTAATGACAGCCTTTTAGCAAAATTACACATCGCGCAGTGGCAAACAATACTGAGCGAGGTGATTTTATTTAACTTTTTCACCATCGCCACGTGTTTGAGCTCTAGGGAAAATTTCTCCTCAAAAACATTGGAATATCTGTAAGAAATTGCAAATTCTCTCCATATTTTTAATTAGTGCAAATTTGGGTAAATAATTAAATATGAATTAATGGTACATTTAACACTGAACACTCAAATGCAACAAAAAAATTCACAAAGGAGAGAGCCCCCCCCCCCAAAAATAATCTTGACCTGTTGTGAGAGAATAGACAAATTGAAGTACGTGTTCTTTTGTTTTATATTTGCTGCTTTTACAACAATATGTAATTAATTTTAATAGAATGTTAATAAAAATAAATAACTTATTATAATTACTAAGTTTATTAAAATAAATAAATAAATACCTCTGCAATAAAAATTGTAAAAATTAAATTAAAATAAGTTTTTAACATTTTTTATAATAATGTTGTCTTTGAAATATTAAATAAAAATTATAAAATTTAATAAAAAAATTAAATATAAATTATATACAAAAAATATAAAATTCTGTTTGTTATGCATATCAATAATATTTTAAACTTGTTTTTAAACAATTTTTTAAAATTTTCAATCGTTGAAGTAGAGGCACAAACCTACGCATTTATCCCTCTTTAAAACAAGTAAAAGCGTGCTGTGCAAAAGTAGATCAACAATTATATGGGACTTATGAGACAAAAAGAACAGTTAAATATATTGGCAATGCCCTTAGTTAATTAATTTCTCATTAAAATTAGGTTAGGTTTTTTACATTATTTCAATTACTTATTATTTTTAATTTAGAATTTTTAAAGATTCACTTTATAAAATTGATAGCAAACTAATTTAGAGCAAGGTTGTTGAAGATCTTGACTTTTAAGTTGAAAATTAAATTCTTTGGCTTGTATCCAACAGCCCCCATGTGCGATAATATCATCCACACATTCTTGGACTTGTAGTCATCATCTGGGAGTCAATGGTCACCAAGTGACGTCACCTGGAGTGAGGATAAATTTTTTTGACATTTTGCTGCATAAAAAATTCTATTTTGTGTTCCTCACATTAATCTTCAGTTGATTAAAAAAAACTTACATTAATTTAAATGAAACAAATACACATAAATGTTACTGAAAGTGAATTCAGTGGAAAGGAGACGTGGACAAAAGGGCACCTGGGAAAAATGTGAGGGCATACAAAATACCGAGGCAGCAGAGAAACGATAATTCGTCTTCTTATTTTTATTGCCGCGCGCTCCTCATATGTATATTCATGAGCATCTATCTCACGAGAACACAAATAGAAAGAGTGAGTGTGTTTTTTGTGTATCGCTGGGCTGCGTAAGGTGAGTTGAGTGACTGCAGAAGAAGAAGAAGAAGTAACAAGTTTGGTTTGGAACATGATCGATTAGGAGCCGTTGTGAGTATGACACATGGAACTGCCCAATGTATAAAAATGGCCCCGGCTGCCTTTTTTATTCCTGGCCTCGCTCACTGCGAGATGTTGCGTGTTTCGCTCGGTTGGGGGTGGCACTCTCCAGACAATATGATAGATTTGTGACACAAAGCGTCAGAAAAGCAACACGCAAATCTTATTACGGAACAATTGGAGTCGCCGCGGCGCGAAAGTGTTGCCAGAGTCGCGCCCCGCGAGCGCCGAGCGATTTTCGGGCGATGCTGCAATAAATTGCCGGATCGGTTGCTCGCCCGCCGCGACCTCCGACCCCCAAACCTCGCGAGCGCTCTCGTGTTGATGATGTATTGTTTGTTTTATTCAAATGTGTATTTTATTTGCGCGCCGTGCCGTTTTGATGTGAAGGTGTTGCTTTGGTTCGCGGAACTTGTCAGTTTTATCGTCCGTCGTGTCAAATATATTTGCATTATTTGCATCTATTCGTTCTGCGGTTACCTCATTGTTACATACAAAAGTTGAAGTTGACAAATGCTTGCTAGGAAATTTTGAAGTTTTGTTCATTTTATAAGTGAGTTAGTTTAAAAATTTTAGATTGTATGCAAATAGTTGTCGAGTTAAAAATTGGATCCGTGTTAAATGAATCATAATATTAGTTAGCTTTTTTTACTTTGCCGAAAAGAGTAATAAATATATTGATTTATTGTCTATCGAATTAATACACTTAATATTTATCTCCATGTGATGGTTGGGTTGATTGGTTTCAATTTTTAATTTTATTTAGCAAGTATGTGGAAACATTGCCTGATACTTGAAAATCATAAATTTATATTATATGTATTATTTACTGCTAGAATAATCTTGACTTTTCAATAAAAATTTGGATTTTCTTTTAATTAAAGGGCCTCTCATTGACTTGTTTCATTTAAAAATAACATCAATGTCCAATGTTTTTTTACATCTTGGCCATCATGAATAAACCCTCGATCGCGAGAAAATTCTATATAAAAATATTTAAATATTCTTTGGCGGCGTTGCATAATACATATATGTGCTATTTTCAATGTTGTCTGGAACATTCGCAGCCTCAATAACTCATCATGACCCAATTCCGCCGGACGTAATAATTCAACATGCAGTCAGAGAAATGCAGTTTTGCATTTGGAAAGTAATAAAACCGCGAGATAAAATCTTTGAGCTAGATTTTCCCCATTTCCTAATGCCATAATTTTCAATGCTTAAAACAAAAGAAAAAGCTTGACAGGAGACTATATAAGTAAGTTGTATTTTTCATGTCATTCATTCCATCAGTTCAACGTCGATCTGATGTATGTAGCGATGAAGAGCCTAATATTATATATGTTATCAGCACAGGTAAGATTTTTTTTTATTTTTACTTTAATTTCCATGCATGTCTATTTTGAAAATAGTGTACTTCTTTTAAAGAAGTTTAAAATCAAGAAATGTGGTAGATAAAATATTGTTTTCCCAGGGAAAATTTCTCCTGAAACAGTGAATGTCATTTTCAAAGAAAAATGAAAAATTGCATTATAATCGGTAGTTAAAAATGTCAGAATCAATGAATAAATGGAAAATAAAAATAAATAAATCTGGAATAATTTTAATTAAGGGATATCAATGAGCTCTTAATAGAGCGGAATTTTTTTAAATTCGCAATAAAATTGAATAATGAATGTTTTTCGTCGCAATTTCAAGCTGGCTGTGCTGGCTGTTACAGCATCTGTAACAAATCAGCAAGCCGTAAAAACCGATGATGGAGCTATGTCGCCTGACGTAAAAAACAACTCAAGAGCTATCGTTTGTAAAGACAAAATATTTCACAAAGAGTCCTCAATATTGAGCTATATTACCTTAAAATCACCGCACGCGTCAACAGAGTTATGAGCTAAAATTTTCATCAACCAAATCTCGTCCTCCTTTCTTGCGCCTTGTATGCATTTCTTAAAAGTTTCTATAAAAGAAACCCAGATGCAGTTTGGCTTGAAAAATTGAAAATTAACTTGATTTCATTTGGGTCAAGCCTCAGATCTATAGCCCGTGATCGTTGACGCGTGATGGATTTTGTTCAAGAAAATGGATACTAGATTAAACTATTATTATTATAATCAATATCAAACGTAATAATGATTAAATTAAATAGCTCCTCAAATCGTTGGCGGCTCTTTGGCCACCCTTGGGCAGTTTCCATGGTACGGCTTACTCCGCGTTTACGATGGTGTAACTGGGGATAGTGCGGGGATGTGTGGAAGCTCACTGATTTCAAGCACATGGGCACTGACTGCTGGTCACTGCGTTCCGTAAGCTTTTTTCGATTGAAACTTACTCTGTAAATTAAATAACTGTATTAAAAAAAATCACCAGTTGGGAAATCGACACAAAGAAATTTGATCTCTTTGTTGATTTTGGAACGATAGTGCATTATCCAACATCCCCTGGATCAGTTACAAAGAAGGTCACTCCTTACCGGCACGAGGAATTTGTATCATCGGCAGCTTATAATGACATTGCACTATTGAAATTGGAATCAGCTGTCACCTTTACCGGTTAGCATAATATATAATGTTTTAATTTAAAATTGCATGTTTCACCAACAATAACTCAAATGTGATATAAAAATGGCAGCCAACATCAAGGTGATTGCACTTCCGTCAGCGTCGGTATCGACTGCTCCTGGAACAACTGCCGTTGTCAGTGGCTTCGGTTGGGTATCAGATACTAGTACAAAAATATTTTTTTACAAATCCAACAGATTTCATTACTTATGTTCCAAATTTGAAAATAAAGCTCAGGCAACCAGTAACGACATGAAGTATGCCACAGTTCTAATTATTCCTAACGAAAACTGCACCGCCGAGTACAAAAATGCAGATAAACCATTTGAGCCTGCAAATATGATTTGTGCCAGAGCACCTCTTAATGATCAAGCGCATTGCAACGTAAGTTAATTTGGCAATATCGCCTACTGTTTTTGTGATTATTTTAGCTGACAATTTTGCGATACCTTTTTTTATAAATACAGCCTATAGAAAAAATAGTCAAAATGAATTTTTTACAATTTCCACCCATATGACCAGTTTTAGCCAACTTTGTAACTCTCTCTGCCAGACAATCCTTCAATTAAAAACAATCACTATTAAACCCCACCAATGTAAAACATATTGGAAAGATATTTATATTTTTTTCATTATATGAAAATGTGCAATCTTCTGCATTATTATTTGGTTTAAAAAGAAATGTCAAATCCGGTTAATCAGGATTAATTAGGAAATTGAATGCACTTTTGTATGCAAGACTAACATTTCATTCCAATCAAAGTTTTGCAAAATCCTATCATCAAATTTATACATCACTCATATAATACATATTTTTAAAATGGCACAGATTATAGCAATATTAGTTTTAAATTAAAAAATAAATTATTCCTTTGAATAAAATGTTCTTGAGGTAAAGCAATATTATTTATAAATAAACACTTTTGTCCTAACAAAATAAATTCAGAGCTATTTGAATGCTCATTGACTTTGAATCATCAGCAAACATTTGAAATTTTTTTATACATCATTATGTTTAAAACTTACAATGTATTATTAAAGGGAGACAGCGGTGGCCCATTTGTTATAAATGCTGCATCAAGTAGTCCAACCCAAGTTGGCATTGTGTCCTATGCAGGAGTTACTTGTATTGGGACCTCATCAGTCTATACCAGAGTCAGTTCATACACATCTTGGATTTCAAAGACAATGGCGAAAGGTAAAAACGACGCATATGAATAATATAATAACAACCAAGTTTTTTTACTAAAATATCTTGATAAAGTCGATGCTACCAAAACAACCACTACCAAAAAGACCACCACCAAAAAGACCACCACCAAAAAAACCACCACCAAAAAGACGACCACTAAAAAGACTACGACTACCAAAAAGCCAACCACCAAGCGAGCCTAATTGTAGTGTCGATTAAATTGAAAAAAATTTGCAAAGTATGGATATTTTTGTTTGTCAAATAAACTTTTTCGGTATTAAAGGTTGGCGTAAACTGTTATATTTTTACTTCAATTCCTTCTTGTATAGCAAATATTGAATACACAGGAGAATTATTATATTGTTCCTCTCTTTTTTACTTCTTCACGTTTAAAATTGTTCTAAATGTTAATGAGTTGTAATGAGCAATCCAAGTTTTACTTCAAATAAAAAAATATTATATTTGATATTAAAGCAAGCAAATTTAATTCAGGAAAGATTTTTCAACAAGAAATTGTTGCAGAAAAACACTCTAAAACTTTCCATTTTAATTTTTTTTTTCATTGCATGATAGTTTATTCAGTAAAATCTAAAATTATTTTTTGCCAATCATTTGCACACTGGCTGTAGTTATTCCAATATTATTTCAGCGAAAAAAGTTTATGCCAGCGAAAATAAATGATGCTTGATTTCAATAAAGACAAACCCAAAATCAAAATAAAATTAAAAAAAGACAAAATTGAGTGGCGCCTTCTGCGCCACTAAAAATGGCACAGGCCGACAAGACTTTGTCTTGGCCTGACCCTAAAAAAAAAAATAAAAAAAATTCTAAACATAGGCAATTAATTTGAATTGATCGTATTTTTCAACAGCTTCTGAAAACCTGAAAACAATAGCAGTTTAGGATATATACATAAACTATTCATCCTTTTACAATGTTTTTTTTTTATTTCTTTAAATATGCATTCTGAATTTCATGGTAAAATTCTATGCAACGCACAGCTTCACAGCAGTTTTTTTTTTAACAAAAACTAAATTTGCTGCGGAGCAAAACAAATAAATGTAAGATTCTTCCTGGTTTCAATTGAATGCCTAAAGTATAGAAAGTCGTGGTGCTGAACACAAGCAAGATCCAGCAGCAGTGCAGTCCCCCAGGGTAGTAAAACACACACTCGCTCTCAGCTCTTCAGACAAAAGGCAAAGAGCGTGGCAAAAAGGAGGAAGCAAAGCACATGCAGCACATTCAGCACAAAATCGGACGGACGCGCGCGGCGAGAGGGCCAGCCAGGCAGCCGCAGCAGTTTACCTGCTGCTGAATAAATTAGTCTGGCTAGCACAAAAGACGAGATTCACAAAAGATGTTCCACTTGCAGAATTAGTCATACAAAGAGAAAACGAGAGATTTATTACTCTCTCTCTCTCTGGGGCTTATTTTACCTGGGCTTCTGCTTGGCCGATTGTCATCCTTGAATGTTCCCTGCTTTTATTTTCGGAGTACTCACGTGTTAACCGTACTCCTGAGAACAATATTTTCATGCGTGTGTCCTTGCCTGGTTGAGAGCCAACCCAAAGGGTTGTAAATCAATAGCGCGAGAGTGGCCCTCGCACATTTTTAAATTTATAAATCTGCGCCGCGGTTGGAATGCAACTTTTCATTTGTGGAGGAGCAGAGGCCACCTTGTGAGATGGTTGGTTTTTGGTAGCTATGCATGCCGAACTGCTGTCGTTTCGCCTCTTTATGCCGTGAATAAGTGGCTGGAAGATAAATTATCATTATTTGCCTGCGCTGCCTCTTTAGCTGCCGTGAGAGCAAAGCGAAATAAAAAATTATTGCATGTTTAGGCTGTTGACCGCTCAGAACTTAAATTTTGAATTAAAGAATCTTTAAAGAAGTATCATATTATGAATTTCATTTTTATACCTTAAATAAATCAAGGTTGTTTATACTCAAATATTTTACGAAATGGAAAGATAATGAGAAGATTAACTGAAGAATATTCAAAATTGCAGTGGTGACAAATTTTATATTGAAACTTTGCATAAAATTATTCACAAAATATATGGAGTGTTTTTGACTTAAAATTTAGTTCATTCAACATCGTGCTAAAGTTGAACATAATAAAAATTACAAGGAAAAATTAGGAAGCATGAAATCTAGCGTAACATTGCACAGTGTGTAAATTAATTTTCCAAAATTTTGGATTTATATTAATGTAGTATTTGTTACTATTTGTAGTAAATGAAGATCGTTATTCCCGTTAACAATTATTCAGCTTAAAAAAATTGATATTTTAAAAAAGTGAATAATTGTTAAAAAAAATTATATGGATTTTTCCCCTGTATTCACAACTTATATTTTAATTTTAAGATTTTAATTTTTATGTTAGGATGTGGTTTTCAATTTTGCTGATTTTTTGTTCTTTCTTGCTCATGAAACAGGCAGACTGACCATAACTGGTAGAGCCATTTGTTTGTGAATAAAAACAATTTTTGCAACGAGGAAAAGCCTGGTCCCTTCATTTCCATCAGATTAGCAGATTATAATTTAACATTTAATGCAGGGGAAAAGAAAAATTTATTTTAAATTTTAGTTGTAATTATTTTTATTGGCATTTTCCCAGTTTTTCTGCTGCCAGTTTGCCTTAGCTCTATATATATAAAATTTATAACTTTAGATAAGAAGCTTTAAGCATTTCATTATACAAATATAGACACAAATGGGAATGCGTGTAATAATTAAAAGGAATCCCGCCGAGGACAATTCAAACGTGTTCGTATGCATATTAAAACGTTGTTGCTCATCTTTACGACCGCTGATAAGGTATCTGGACGCAATAAAAATGATAAAGTGACTGTATATCGGCCAATAAAAATGTCTCCGCGGCCGATGAGGAGCGCGGCCTCACCCTGAGCAGTTTCCAGGGCTGCGCAGGTAGCGCTCGGGGACCTCCCACATGAGCTGGCAAACACACACATGCATGGGAACACGCGTGATTTATTGTCGGGGAACGTGAGAACTCAACCATCTTAGCCATAAGAATTCTTCCTCCGATATATAATGCAGCTTCAGTCAGCTGAGCTCTATTATTGCTGTGTTGGTGCATCTTTTATATTATGCTTGCCTTTCACCTCTCACGGGTGCATTTCTGAAAAGGGAAAACTCCTCGGAGAGTTTTGACAGGTCGGGATTGATTTGCATAAACTGGTTTGTAAATAAAATTCACCGTTTTACTCACAGGCATAAATACATTATTTTGTAAAAAATAAAGGATTTTTAACGTTTCAATGAGCAAGGAATTTCTGGCACATTTTTGTGTGTCAATGTAGGTGACAATCCGTGAGAATCATAATTTGTTACAAGGACGAGTTTATTAATAATTCTGGATTTTATCAAACCAAATTTGTTTACACGTTAACTTGCACATTAATTAATATAATTTTTTTAAATGTCAAAAATTCATTTGAAAATATGCTGTGCTGGTAAGCATGTTTCACAGGAAATTCATTTATTTTATTATTCAATAATAATTTGATGGATCCTTTATATAATTTTTTTTTAATTCAGTGAAGAATCACTTTTTTATAAGTTATAAAAAAATTATTTATTTATTTTCTATTTAGATATACAATGAAATTATGGTTATAATTTAGTAAAAATAGCACCTGAAATTAATTTTTTTGTGCTTAAAAATTTACATATTAAATTCTAAATTTTTAACTTTATTTAAATAACCAAGTAGGTATGAAAACAGCTTTTAAGCCTCATGAATTAGCGCCGTTTATTGCCTACTGAATTTTATATCTTTCTTGATGGATATTATGCTTTGCAAAAATGGGCCTCAGAGCGGCAAAATCTGCGTCTACTTCCTTATCACGACTGTTCATCATGGCCAAAATATGTCGTGGGCAGTGAGCAGGCCAGAGCTCACGCTATCCACCCATGAGGGCATCACAGAGCTATTCGCGTTTTGTATTGAAACGTCGTCTGAGAGTCGTATTCACTTTGTCAGTCAGTGGGGCACACAACAGGCTTTTGATTTTTATTTTTTAGTGCTGCGCTTCTTTTTAGTGCGTGTTGGCCGCGCCGGCTAAAAGGGAAAGTCGCCGGTTTTATTGACAAATTTGAAAAAAAAAATAACGCTTCCTCCTCTTGGCCGAGCATAAATTCTCAGGTTTACGAGGCCGGATTTGTCACGCTGCTCGCCGGCGTGCAGTCAAAGGTTGCCCATTCGGCGGCGATGCGTTTTTACGGCGCGGCGACATCGCACCGCGCAGAGCTGCTGCCATCCGAATATATAATCTCATTTCATCTCTCTCGCGCTCGCGTTAGTTGTACACATTTTTGATGGCGCGCCTCCTTTTCATCTAATCCAAAAAAGCAGCAGTCAAGGTAGCTGCGGAGACATTAAGCAAGACAGATCGCCCGACGAGAAAATCGAAAGGACCTGCGCTCTGCGTGTAGCTCTGAACGGAAAAAGGGTTGCTTCAAAGGACGACGCAAACCTCCAAACAGATCGAGAGAGGCGGTCAACCCATCTCATAATTCTGGTTTAGCAGTGCGGGAAAAAGGGAAATATTAAAATTATTATATGAATACCCAAAGATCCTTTACGGAGCCCCTGTTTCTTTAATACATTTTTCTTTGTATCATTATCTCGTGCCTATAAAAAAGGATCCGCGCCACACACATTTCGTTGTAGAGCTTTTCAGTCTTTATGGAAATCTTTCATATAAATTAGGTATATTTTATACCATCATTACATAGTCAAGATTTAGACAATAATTGCACATGATAATTAACCTTAGGTAAAGGATCTTCACAAATATTTTATCTTTTTTACCGAGAACAAACACATAATTTAATTTTTACTGAAAAAGATATGAGACTTACTTAAGAAATTAAATATCAATTTTCTCTGCTTCCATTGTTTACTTTTAATTATATATAAAGATTGGTATACATTAATCAATTGATATAAATATAAGACACAATCATTAATCTACAACTTTAAAGGAGGGGTCATGCACATAAAGGAAGTTTCTAACTTTTATAAACATTTTTTAATATAATTAAAGAAATATATTTGTGCAATAAAATTATTAGAACAGAAATTTGCATCTTAACAACATCTTGCAAGGATGCGTTGGCGTTTTGCCTTGTACGCAAGATTAAATTTGTAATTATAATAAAATAAAAATAAATTTTTAATTTTTTAATAATATAGAAATTTTTAATATTTGAGAATAATCAATGTATCTTAATAAACACACATTTTTATGTGTACTAAAAATGTTAAAATCAAGAGAAATTTTTCCACCTATTTGTGATTTGCGACCATAACTGTTTCATCAACC